GCCCTCCCAGCCGCCCATTGCAGCCTTTTGCCCCCCCTACATCAGTTTTCCTTGCTGTCTGGTTCGCCTCGGCATCACCAACCTCCTTTCCAACATATTTGGCAGCCCTCCATCCTTCCCCTTTTCCCTTGCCACTTCATCGAAGCCACCACTGCTCTTGGATCATTTCTTCTGATTCTAGTCGGAAACTGTTTTTTTGTAGTTCCTCCTTTTGTTTGTATCATGTTGTAACCGTATTTGAGTATGAATAAAAGTTGATTTTGTTTCCGCTGATTTTCTAACTAGTTTCATTGTCAATGGAAAAATGGAAGTTTATGTCATTCCGAAGAGGATGAAGCAAGGAATCCAATTGTCTAAATGGTTTCGAAAAAGTTAGTCTTTTGCTCAAGTTATGGTCATTTGAAGTGATTAGAGGTTTGTGGCAGACAGTTGGAATTGAGTAGTCGGGTATGGCCAAAAGTCAACTTAGACTCATTTCGAAGGGGAAAACATGAGGAGCCCAGCTGTGCATGTGGCTTTGATTTAATCAAGTTCTTAAGTGAAATATCCTTGATAAAAATGGGCTCAAACGCTTGGAGAGCTAAAAAAAGGCAATTTTTGAGTTGGAGATTTTAATGAATTTTACTGGAACAAATGTGCAGTTTTATATTACGAGGATTATTCAACTTTCAAGATGTAATTTGGATCATCAGATCGACTCGTGAGAAAGAATGATAATTTTAGAGTTTCACTGCAAATTTTATGCATGAAAATTTTGAATTGAAAGATTTCATGTAAACATTATTTCAAACTATCGTCGAATTTATTTGTGTGTTTTGTAAATACAACAATGAACATTTGTGCAATTGCTAAAATGATGTTTTGAGCCATACAATAATCTCAAGAGAGAAAATGATAATTTTTTGGTTATGATTGATTCAACGTTTGGCTCAGCATTCAACTTAAGTGAAGGTCAATGAAGTGTAAATAGAGGGAAAGTGGGTCAACACATGGGAGGGAATACTCAATTCTCATTACAAATCTTCAACCATAAGGCTACATATATAGAGAAACTAGTCATTTCTAATTTATAATCTTACCAACTATATCTAACATATACATAGAGAGGAAATAATTTTGAAATAAACATACATAAGAAGAAAATAAAAACTAATAAAAAAGTTTCTTAAATTATCTCCAATTAATCCATCTATCACTCCTTGGATGGTAGACATGGACCCATCATGGAAAGGTCTATCTTCCTAGATTCTCACTATTTAATTATTGCTTATAACAGAGGTTTTCTCATTTACTCAGCTTGTTTTATCCAATGCATTCATGGCAATTTAACTAAAACAAACTTAATGGCAAAGCTCCTCAACTTTTAGGAATCCTTAAACGCACATCATATCTTAACAAAGTCATAAACGCTCCTAAACAAGCTTCACTTAAATGGTTCGCTATTTTCTCAAATCATCTTCATCAATTAAGATTTCAATCAGGTATGATCGGCCTTTCAACCTCCTATAATACAACTAGGATCATATATGTTGTTGAAATTTTCTTACAAGTAACAATCTAGCTACTAGAACCATCAGAAAACCTAAAGGCAAATTTTGCATTTGCATTTATTAGTCATCTCCGTTTTCCTTGGAATTCAATCCCCCACCCCGTGTCGCCTCCAACTAGTCAAGTACAACATGCCCTCTCCTTGCTCAGCCATGCATGCATGTCTTATTGTAATTCCTTCTCGTCTCTCGCCCACATTTCAGCTAAATCTTCATTTATTGGCATGGCCAACACATCTTATTCCAGCCTACAACTCTATCAACATCTAGTAGGCTCGTTATAGTACGTCACACCTTAGCTAAACCCCCCTCCCTGCTTTAGGGTCAATTGTGGTGTGATAGAGGTGAATGACCAAGCCAAATAAAGTTCTCACCACACTAGTTCTGACTTGTACAAATCAGGACTCAACAGATAACAATTTAGTCAAACTTAACCATCTCAAAGATAACAATCTAATTCATTAACATTCTCATATACTTGAAAGTGTGCAAAATCCTATTACCAAATATATACAAAGCAGCAAAAAAGAAAATATGACCTAATGAAAAATATGTACCTAAAAGCCTTTACAGTTCTAAAATACGCAATGCAAAAATTGTACACCAACACACCTAGCTAATTTTCCCAATCCTCTTCACCCACTCCTGAAATTCAGCAACAGATAAGAATGCGCTACAAGCTCAATGAACTAGTCAAGATTGAAGTGAAACCTTATAGAGGAAAAGAAAGCGACACGCGTGTGAAATTGTAGCTCATATGCATAACAACTGTATGTAAAACAAACATATTTAAATCATGTGAGACATTTAAGGTAAGTGCACGAAATATAGTAAATAATAAACATTGAGACAAACATATATTTCATTCATTCCTTTATAGACTAAAGTAAAATTTTATAAAGGGAACTAAGACAACGTGCATGTGAAATTGTAGCTCATAAGCATTACAACAGTATATAAAACAAATATATTTAAATAATGTGAGACATTTAAGGTAAGTGCATGAAATGTAGTAAATAATAACCACTGCGACAAACATATATGTCATTCATTCATTCATTCATATATAATCATAGGAATTTTCTTAATGATTTCATTATCTATAACTATAGTCTTAGGAATGTTACTTGTAATTGCATAGAGTTTAATTATATTTATGTTATTTCATGTCATTGGGTCGTAACCCAGCCTGCCAGCTACATAACTATTGATAACTGTTGAGCCTCTTTCAACATAACTATTATCAATAGTCTCCTGATGCCAATAGTTGTCCCTGCCGAAATATGAAGAGACTAAAGCCATACCTGCAGACATTCATATAAATAGTATATCTATCATAACACTTGGGATATTTCTTTAAACATAATTTTTGTAATTATCATTGATCATATACAAATCATTTATCATGTGTTTATACAGCATTATACGAATACATGCAAGCAATTATTTCATAATCATGCTCATCTTAGCAATAAAAATAGTAAAATCAGAAGCATCACTAATGTCAGCTCAAATTTACATCCATGTATCATATGCATATTGAACAATATGCAAAAAATTTCTAAATAAACTCATGTATCAATAAATCATATAGAAATCCTGCAAAAATATATTATTCTTAATTTAGCACAAAGTTATTTCACCTGAATCAACGAAGTAGTTATCTGACGAGTTTCTTCATGCTCGCATCGAGTTTGCCACCTAGAGTAAATCACCTGGAATTATAATTCTCTGAAAATTTTTATGAAATTTTTGCTAACCATAATTTACTTGGCTAATCTTACCTCGAAAAGGCTTCCCAATAAATTCTCCCTAAAGCTTTTGTTTATTTCTTTTCTTCCTCTTATCTTCTTTATTTTCTCGCTAACAACCCTACTCGAGAGCTAATTGTTCAAGTTCAGAGCTTTTGACCAGTATGTTGCTTCCCACTCCATTGACTGGGAATGCGATAACACTTGCAACAAGTCACAGAAAAAGATTGTGGGAAAGGAAATGAATGTTCTAAATGGCATATTAATAAGGATTCTCTTGTCAATTATCTTCTTGGAACTCCCAATCGCAAGATAAAACTTGTTGTTCACGCCTATTCACGCCTACTATAGGACACGAGCAAAAGAAGCTTTGGACTTATGAAGACGGAGTGAGGAAATGAGAAAAATGAAAGGGAAATGCATCATTTAAGATCCAATTAAAACCGACCCCTTTGATTTCATCCAGCCGGTGCAGGTCTAGGAAAGTGCGAGGCTACAGTGCCGCAGGATTAACAGGATTAATTTGAATTTTATCTCTATCAGATATACCTTTATGGTTCACAAATCAATGGATAGAAATTTTTTAGGAGTATATGGGTTGCGACTATAATTATAATATAATGGTGTCATTTGACAGCAGCCACCCGATTTAAGGACCCCTGTTGTAATTACTATGTTATGCGACATTTGGTCCAAACCACACAAGCAGAACTCGAGCCACGTCCTTACTAGTATGGAATTACTTTTGAGTGAATATAATGATTCACTTGATATGATGTTTCCTTTTCGTGAGCTGAAGTCAATGAAAAATTTTTCAGCTGTGGATATGATTTGTTTCAAATTTTAAAATGATTAATTTTCTCCTCCCCCTTTTTTCGGCATAGTGAAGCGGCGATAGATTTGTGCGTGCAATTGACCGATTGGAGCATGTGAATAGGAAGATCGGGGCGAGCGAAGGTGAACTCACGTGTGAAACATTGGGAAGGCCGGCGGCTTTTCCACGGTTCAACTCAAATAGAGGAGAAATGAAAAGGATCTTTGGGTTTTGGCTTCAGCTCTTGAATTGCACAAATATTGGGAACGGGCGGTGTGATACTGTGAATTTGTACAAGGAATTAGGCGAAGCCCTTTGGCTTCGATCTACTGCTTGATTTGTATGGCAGATAAGACGAGATCGGGAGTTTATGCGCCTTTGGTGTAGTCATAAGACAGATGAGGCTTCAGTGAAGAGGAAAACACATGCGCTTTCGTTCGTTTTCAATGACAGAGAGGAAGAAGCTAGCGTTTGGCACTAATGGGATAAGGCACACGATAGTGGAGAGGGGAAAGAGAGAGGAGGGAAGCGTTGATCTTGAGAGAGGAAGGTTTAGGGGATTTCGTCGGTGTTGCAGTTGTTTCGAAGTGAGCAGGAGCAGGGTTAAATTATCAAGAGAGCTGGAAAAACATTAATGTGTGTTTGTAATGGAGGAGAACTGGGGGAACAGATATTGGAACGATCCTGGGGTTCAAATGGCAGTACCACACCATCTATCTAAAACTATTCTAATCTGCACCAATCATTTCTAGCAATCTGTACTCCAGCAAGCAACTCTAGCTATTAGCATAATTCTGTGCACTGTATGTTATTTCTGAGTTCGTAAAAGTTTTCCATCAAATTATAATGGTTTATAAGCAGAAGTTAATTTAATAATTTTTATTTCAGCCTGAATGGATGGCGCCAGAATTTCTCCGTGGAGAGCCAACAAATGAGAAGTCGGATGTATTCAGCTTTGGGGTAATTTTATGGGAACTTTTGACAAAGCAACAGCCATGGAGAGGGCTTAGCCCTGGCCAGGTAAAAAATAAAACCTGTTGCATATATAAGCCATTTCGTGAGGGATTAACTTTTTTGGATGGATTTCATAACCTAATTGATAGTTTCAGGTGGTTGGAGCAGTTGCTTTTCAGAATAGAAGGCTCCCTATACCCCAGGATACGTCTCCTGCATTAGCAGCCCTTGTGGAGTCTTGCTGGGCCGAGTAAGAGTGCTCTTATCCTTCTCTGCCTTTAAATCTTCTTGCATTTTCTTGACATACCACACAAAAATATTATGTATTTATATATCTAACACCTAAAACTTAATATTTACATTTATAACACTTAAATCTTAAACATCACATTACTAACCTTTTAAAAGCCAAATGCACCTGTTTTATGTATAGGCTTATATAGCATCAAGGTGTTACAAATGTAAATTTCAAACTTTAGTTGTTAATTATTTAAATCGATAAGAATTGTGTGAGGTATGTCTGTAAATTTCCCTATTTGAAAGTAATAGTAGAATACCATCTTTGTTGTTATAAATCAACATAAAGGAGGCCGATTTATTTGTTTATATGTGATGAAAAACATTCTTCACAACTTGGTTGGACTTGGATATTTGGATAAATTGATGAATTAACGAAGCCTGCACATATTGCCCAGGGGCTATATTTAGTTCTTTCTCTATGAAAAGAAAAGAATACATTCACGAATTATTTTCTGAATAATACTCCTTATTTTATGACAGAAGATTTTTTCAAATTTTATTTCTCCAGCAATTAGCACTGATAGATTTGCCCGAAGCCCTTGAAACACCAAGCTAGTAGGATTTTCTATTATATTCCGAATGATTTTGTTCGTAGGTTGCCCGTCCTCAGGCCCTGCTTCTTAGCAAATATTAATCATCAAATTATCAGCAACAAGTGAAAGGTGTAAACTTCAGTTGAAACAGTAATTTAAAATTAAAAATGTTATTCAAATCTTGGACGATCAAGTTCAAAACATTATCCTGACGAATATAAGAATGTGCATTTCTATCTGCTTAACTACCAACTAAAATTTTGTCAAAATTCCCTTTTAAAATAAGAAGATAGAAAAAAATATGCCAAGCATTTACAGTTAAAAAAATATTACTATTCCCTATTTTCTAAGTTTGATAAAAATAAAAACTCTGCAGCTACTGCTGAATGACATCTTGGTATAACTTTTATGCTTCCAGCCAAACTGCCATTTTCCAACAGACTTTGCATGTGGAATTTCCTTTCTAATTCTTGTTGATGTAGTCTCTCACCGTGGTATTTCTCTTTTGTTTAGTGATCCGAAGCAGCGACCTCCATTTTCAAGCATCGTGGAAACACTGAAGAAGCTTATTAAATCATCAGCCGCGCAAGTGGGGAGCTCGTGAAGCAGATACCATATAGTTAACTGGTTCTGAACATGGTCTACCAAGCTTTTCCTTCCGCGAATGGCAATCATGTATTGGTGAACCATTGGTATCTCTTGCTAGGCGATCATGAATATATATCTTCAAAGTAGTACTTCTGATATCTGCCCTTGACTTGCTACATAATGTCACCGGCAGTTTTTGATGATGGTATGAAGAAAGAATGAAAGTTTAAAACAAAGAAAATAAAAATAAAATTAAAATGTACTGGGTTTGTTTCATGCTTATTTGTGTTAATATTTCATGTTGTAAGCTAAAATGTTTATAGATTTTCTCACCTTACAATGTGAGCCCAATTCTATGTATCTTTTAACCAAATAAAGCTTAAATGTTGTGTAATTATGAAAGTGAACACAAATAAAAATCTGTAGTTTGATGAGTTTTTTTTTATATGATTTTGCATATTCTTTGTACTTAGGATGTGTACCTGTTCTGTATAAATATGAAATATTTTATGGATAGAAATTTTGCCCATATTGGCATGCTTGGTCAGAGATAATTTACAATTTTACCAATAGAAAGCTTGTTTGTTTGATTCAAATCCATGAGTCCATAGCACCATCAAGTACCACGAAGTTAATCAAAGCAAATTGCTGGGCCTCAAGTATTTTGTCATTGCATTTAAATAAAATGATGAACAGCCACAAAACAAAAATTATATATATATATATATATATATATATATATATATAAGAGTTTCATATTACTCTATATATATATATATATATATATCTGTGTGTGTGTATGATTGTAGGTGTGCGCGCGTGCGTTTCATAGTCTGTTAGTAGAGCAGCTATTCTGAAGGTTGTAAGTTCCCTCAGGACATGGATTTGAATACCTCGGTGTGTAGAATGTGGTACTCGAATATTTAGCACACCTATAGATCGTTGGGTTATTCCTTTATATATTCGAACCTGGAACAGAGGACTTACGTCAAAGCTGCCATCCAACAGGCCACCGGTTACGCTATATATATATATATATATATATATATATATATATGTGTGTGTGTGTGTGTGTGTGAGTGTGTAAAATGCCGCCTATTTGTTATGCTAGGGTTTGGGATCAATGGTTGCCACCTCCTACTCTCATTTCCTCTCTTCATAGTGTCTTCCTTTGGTTTGCTGGGATCTGAAAAGTGAACTTGGTAACTTCTTTCTTGGTGGTGGGATTGGTTTTGGTGTTTTTGTGTTTCCCGAGCTTTCACCTTTTGATTTGCTTGGTTACTGTTCCATTGGATTCGCACCTCCTTGTTGGCTTTTTGCTTCTTCCTGTTGTTGTGTTTTGTTCCTAACTCCTCTAGGTTACCAATGGATGTTACTTTGTAGCAAGCGGATTCCAACTATATGGGGAAATCTTTTGTAGTTGTTGTCTCCCCTACCGGCCTACTAAGACATAAATTGGTGTTCACTCAAACTTATCATGATGCTATGGTAGGGGATGAGGAAAGCTATCTGTTTAAGGAAGGTTCCAAGAAGGGTGGTAAGCATGCCCTTATTTTTTATGAAAATCAAGTGATTGATCTGTCCATGAGGTGTAAATTTACCCTTATTGGTAAATTTCAATTGGGTCATCCTAAAATGGACTTAACAAGGAAAGCTTTTGATGAATTCAAGTTAATAGGTTATTGGAAGGTGGGATTGTTTGATGGCAGGCATGTTATGATTCATTTGGCTAATGAAGAAGATTATGCACGCATTTTCTCTAAGAAGTTGATTAACATTGAGGGGAACCAAATGAAATTGTTGAAATGGAACTATATGGGAATGAAAGGAACCATTTCAACATAAAGAGATCCCTATCAAATGAAATTGTTGAAATGGTTCCCTTGAATTTGATCTTGGCAAAGAGATCCCTATCATTCCCATTTGGTTTAGACTTCCTGGCTTGAAACTATATTTCTTTCACCATAAAGTCCTCTTTTCAATCGGTGCACTTCTGGGTAGGCCCATGAAACTTTATATCTCAACTTGTAACTTAACTAGGGCCTCAGTTGCTCGGATTCTAGTGGAAAGGGATATTACACTCCCTCCCATTGATGAAGTTTGGTTGGGCACTCAACATAATGGGTATGGGCAGCCGATAATCATGAAAAAAAACCATATTACTGCTCCCATTACAAATTGTTTGGCCACACTGATCAAAAATGCTTTAGGCTCCATCCCTCCCTCAAATCTACAAAACATACTCATCTACCAGTTGAAGCAAATCCTAATTCTTCTGCTCCAATGAAATTTGTTGAACCTACACCAGTTTTGGACACTGAGGTTGGTTTTGAACCCATTGATCATGGTGAGACACCTGTGTTGGTTCAAATTGATAATAATCAAGAAATTTCATAGCCACATACCATTTCCCTTGTTGAGGCAGTTGTGGTTGTTACAAGAATTGCCTCTACATACTAATCAACCCTTAGAACTTTAGAAAAATGGTCAGATTGACTCTACCCTTCTAGTTGTAGAGATGCAACAGGAAATGGAAATTGATTGGCAGATTCAGAAAGCTAAGAGGAAAAAGAAGGGTCAGATTGAGGGGAAGAATTCCTTGGATGATACTTTGATCATTGAAGTTGGAAGCTCTTATTCCACTAGGAGGGAGTCCCTATCCATGCTCACTAGGGGCAAATCTAAGCCCTCCCATTATGATTAATCTCTTATATTGGAATATAAGGGGGATTCCCCACCCCCTTTCTCTTAAAAGGCTCCAATTTGTCAATAGAAAGCATAAATTTTGGTGTATGACCATACTAGAACCTTTGGTTCACAAACACTATAATAAAATTACAAAGTCCTTCCCTGGTTTTCGTCATTGGGTCAACTGCAATAATAAAATTTGGTTCTTCTTTAGAAAAGAAATTCAATGTACCATTTTGATCAATCACCCCTGATCCAGGTTGAATATAGTTGTGTAAAATTTATAACGTTGACCCCGCTTTACAACAGTGCCAAAAACTTGATGTGGTATTTAGTAATTTACTTAGAGCCTAGGTTAGTTCTCCAATAGATGCATCCAAAAACTCTTCAAAAACCATCTTAATTCATCGAATCTTCTAGCAACAGGGCTTCCACCGACTTGAGCGTCGTCGGCGCCAGTGCTCCGCTAATTAATTCCCAAGTCTCTGTCAAATGGTACTGTCAAATGGTATCGTCGGCGCTGACTCTTGTTCTGCATCCTTTCTATAGGTCTGCATCGTCCGATGTCCTTTTGGCGCCGTCGTCGTTAAGTATTTCTTCCAAATCTCCATTTTTGCTCCAAATTCCATCCTTTGTGCTTTCTTTTTGTTTCAAGTCCCAAAAATCAACAACCTATAAGAAAACATGAAAAATAACTTCCTTTAAAGTGCAATATCACCAAAAATGGGTATAAAATATAGGTCTAAAAAGCATATATTTTTTGTGTATCAAAATCCCGCAAACTTAAATGTTACTTGTCCTCATGTAACTCTTTTACTACATAAAAATATGACTTATGGTAAAGATTTTAACTTATAGATTTCCATATCTTAGTTCATTAAATATAATAACATCACTTAAGAAAAATTCTAAATAACTCTAGTTAACACTAAAGGTATAAGAATATTTAGTAGTCAAGTCTAAGATTTTGAATTCGATATTCTTTTCAAGGAAAATTACAAATTATTCATATTAAAGCCACTTAAAATATTCATATGAAAAAGAACTTCATGAAACTTTACTAGTAAATATGCTAATATTTAAATATGATTTTAGAAAATGTAGTCAAACTTTCTTCTTTAAGTTGATTCAAGTGAAGCCACTTTTGATTCAAGTGAAGCCACTTCAAGTGAAGCCACTTTTTAATTAGGCATCTCTTCAAGCTTCTCCTCACAGCTTTTTTCTTTTCTATTCTTTTTCTTTTCAGGATCATTTTCAATCCTTTCGCTTTTCTTTCATTTCCTTTTTTTTTCTTTTTTCTTATATCAGGATTACTATATCTGGATAGCCTTTAATGATTTTGAACTTCACCATCCTCTTCTTAAAGTTAAAAACTTTTCACATTTCTTCACTATATAAATTTAGATTAGCTTTAAAGATCTTTCATAAAGTTTTAGTCTTTTCTTCTTACATAACTCTCTAAGATTTTTAATACTTCAGAAAATACAAGGTCCTTTACTTAAAAATAGAAAAACATATTCTTATTCTTTCATACCAAATTTCTTAATCTCTAAAATTAAACTTTATTATTTAAAATTTTACTTAAATTTACTATATATTTAGAAACATAAATATAGTTATCTAAAGTTACCATATAATACCAAAGGTTATGTTAATTTTTTTTTAATATTTTGAAAATATAACTAATTGAGGACAAACAAAATTAAGTTTCTTTTCTTTAAAAAGGAATTTTTCTTCTCCCCAAACTTAAAATTTTAAAAGATTTTAAATGAAGAACAGAAAAATTAAGGGTTAAAGAAAATAATTAATACATAAAGAAAAGACATACCCGTTGAAGGTTCTGATTTGAAACTTAACTCTGAAATATTGCAGGTGCTAATAAGAAAAACTACAAGACTTAAACATTAAATAACACATAATAGATATAAAAATTTACTGAGAAAGAGTTAACTACAAATATATCCAATAAAGTACTAAAAACTAATAACAGTATTAAAAACAGTCTCACAAATCCACGGTTCACAGCACAACATACAATAAAATAAAGTACCACAGTCTACAAACAAACAGTCTCAACAATAAGGTACAATTAAACATAAACTAAACAAAAATCTAACTAAAGCATCACCAATCATCTTCTTCTTCTTATTCTTCCACAAATAAATTCTGCTGCTGATATGGAGTAAAAATAGGGTGAGTAGGAAACTGAACTGAGTGATCACCCTTCATGAATCTGACCATTGCATCATCATATTCGAACTTTGTCTTATCAAATCATCAAAGTGAGCATTTCTGCCTTCCATATTTTCCATTCTATGATCCATTCTCAAAATATCTCCCTGTTGGAGCAACATTTGCTCTATAAGTTCTTGGATAGTAGGGGTACTAGAAGTACCTGAAGTAGAAGGAATATCCCTAATCATACTTCCAGATCTCCATCCAACATGAGATTCACAAGTCCTTATATTGGCAGACCCAATAGGTTTTAGAGGTTCAATCCTCTCCTCATCTGGTCTATAATGAACTCCTGCTTGTTCACATAGTGTGAAAATCAAGGCAGGGTGTGCTAACCCTCCAGAAGTCTCTCCAAAAGCAATAGATCTAGTGTTCCTATAAATAATAGAGCCTACATCTATCCTTTTCATCTGTTGGATACAAAAGTTTAAGATGGCTCTATCCCTTGTAATCTCACTTTGATGATTTGTTGGTA